TGTTGTAAAAGACGTTATTCTCTCTCACTTATCTCTATTTTTATTTGTCAGATTCTAGTTTTTGGAAAGATGAACCGACTAAGTTGATGATAAAAGTGAGACTCTTCCATTTATAACTTAAAACAGCCTCAATTTTGTAATTTTCAGAAGAAATACAGCATTTTCTTTAAACCTTTCTTCTCTATAATAGCTCGAAATAATGATCATATACCTGTTCTACAATGGCATAGAAAACTTTCTAAATAGTATGTATGGAACACATTAGTAACAGAACATGACGAAACGAAATGAAAAAATTGGCACCAACTGCCAAGCCACAAAGAAAGATAAAATTACAAGCATTCACCACAGAATCATTTGATTGAAAGTAAAATCATATTGTCTGTATTCAGATTTTTCATACCATTAAGAAAACAATGTTAGACGCTAGAAACGATGATCCACCTGAACAAAAACTAAGAACAATTTCCTATGTCAATCCAGAAGTAACACTAAATACAAAAACTATTCGTTTAAGACATGTTAATAATCTTAATATTTCCGTAGGTATCATATAACTATTTTATGTATCTATTTATAATACAAGGATGGGAGAGTATATTTTTAGAACAATTTATCTCAACAATCACCTGATAAGCCACATATGGTTCTAACAGCGGTTGATTTTGAAAAATACGATAACGCAATTGGAATCAAATATAAACACAATAAGCTTCAAATTTTCTTGTTCATTATCACCACATTTCTTTATCTTATTCAAGTGTTACGAACTTATATCCATTCGCGTATTCACACAGAATCATACTGTAAGTTGGGGACTGTTCCACACAACTATTCTGAGTCTGGTAGATTCAAGTCGTATAATAAGCTTGAACAATTTAATTATGTCTTAGTACATACTCATCGCCTTGTGACATACAATACAGTTGCTCTGGTTCATCCCCATGGCCTTTCGGAAAGCTAGTGCGTGGTTACTCAGTGTGTATGGGACGCGGAAAGGACTCCGAGTCAGACTAACCTTCTTGTCAGAGCTGCAATAGATGACTAGTAACGATATGAGTGACGATGTCAAACCTAGTCAGCTGTAGAGAAGATATTGGATTATTGAAACTAACACTTGTCAGCACCCCATACCAGTAACGGGAACTGCAAGGTGGAGTTTTCTTCCTTCCTTTTTTCTCTTCCAAGCAAGATTTTGTGATTGACGCTTCTAGTGCTATATTGTGTCAATCATATCCGTGAATATCACTATAACATTTACTACTTTATCTCGATCTTTCCAATGGTTTGCAATCGTTTCAAGAGGATATTTGAAAGTAAGAGATGAAAGAGCTTAATAAAGCTTCGATCCATCTTCAAATCTTAAATGATTCCCGTCTGTACTAATTTTCCATATACCATGACAAGCTGGATAATGTCTGGTTCATAATGACTACGCTCTCTATTTTTGTTTTAGCTCAACATATTCTTCCAGCTTTAATTGTTAAACGACCATACGAATCAAAATTCTATTCAACAGAAATTCGCCCGCATGCATTGATTGAGAGGGTCGTTTATTGTACAGTTGAAAGTTGGCAGGTATTCATATCAAAAAGAAACTACTGGTAATTAAAAAAAACCGATCAATCGTTTTTTTCTTCCTTAGGTTCTGTGTTCATTATATGTTTTAACCCACATTCCAAGAAAAACAGATTACGGCTATCTTTACCGTTTACCAGAAACATTTTCTATTCAATTACAATTATTGTTAATTACATCGGTAATTACGCAATGTTGTTCTGATTTTTGGAGCTCATATACTGAGGTAAATATAGAAGAATGTGACCTACTATCCGTTCCAAAAAGCAAGGCTGGTCATTATTTTTTGAATAATTCAAGGAATAAAAGATAGAGGCTTGCGGTTTTCACCATTCGATGGCCAAGACTTGAACCTATCTTTCTGAAAGCAAAAC